AAGCGTTCCAATAAAAAATGATCGTTGCTAAGCCTCGACTTCTTCCTTTCCAAATTCGTGGCACATTGATTACAAACAGCGCATACACAATAATAAGAAGCATAAAAATATGACGATATTGTCGCATCCATTCCATCGACAATTGTGCATCGTAATCTATCCGGTTCCTACTCATATTTTAATCAGTGTAAAAGAAAAGCGAGTGGCGATTGTCTGCTGAAGTGGAAGGAAGAAACTACGCCGATTTGCACGCCTTTGATAATTACAATGTCCTGCTGGCTGCACGTCTCTTAATTTCAATGTATGCTAATGCTGGAATCAACCAAAAAAAAAAAAAACAGTATGAATGCAAAATGCGAAAAATTTCTTATTTGCAGAAATTTTCCTGACAACCATTCTTGGAATTTTAATGAGCTGTTTTCGAATATTTTCGAATTTCAGTGGCTGTATTCGGATACAGTGATATCGAAGGAAAATCGCTCGAGAAGAACTACTGTGTTCTGTTATCTGTGGAAAATACAATGGCTTTTTTGTGCGAATAGTCGTAAATTGAGAGCCTTCTATTTGTTATTTTGTGATGAGATGTAATAAACAGTTCGGTTTAACAAATTTTACACTGTTTGAAATGCTTCTATGAGCTACTTTGATTCAAAGAACAGAAGGAAACAAATAGAGTACAGTCACTTGTGTCACAGAGAAGAAATGACGCACAGTAGCACACAGAAAACGACAGTTGTTTACAAAAAGATTTGGTAGAAGATTTTTTTGTGAGTTGTCTTTGATTAACCTTAAGAAGTTAGTCTTCTACGAAATATCCATCAAAACAAATAGCAGAAGGTACACATTTTTCACAGTAATTGTTGAATGGATAAATGATCAGAGAAGCGCTTAAAAAATTGACTTTCTTCTTTTCTCTTTGGTCTTTCCTTTGATTCCACATTCAGTAGAGGGTCCCTGAGGACTAAATTTCTGCCGCTGTAAACCTCGCCACGGGTCCGCGCTCTGATGATTAGCAGCACCTTCGCTTATCGGTGCTTTTATGACATATCTGTAACATGAATTATTTTTAGCTCGTTTTGTAATTAAGGTGTCGATTCATTACTTTCCAAGTTTAATCACTTCAATCATTTGGAATTATTGAAAAATAACAATAACGAACATAATATCGCCAGTTTCGAGAGTAGTGTCAAATGATGGATTAATAATTACGTAAGAGATTGTGCCCAACTTCTCATCATACTCTGTAAAATTTGTAACATTTGAAACTTAATGATGTTACAATCATATGCATTAGAAACGAGTGTTTAATATCACTTCTTAAAATTTGAATCTTATTGAGACATAAAACTGAATACCGAGAACATAAAATGTCACAAAACGGAACAGATCCAATCTTTTTGGGCCAATTTAGTTCAGAAAACTTAACCGTAATTTTCACAAGGTATGCCCAATTTCTGCATCCTATAATGCACCAAATCGGAGATATTCACTTTGTTGATCTTTCTGGGCTCTTCCATATCATCTTTTGAAACTTTCAACTTCACCTAGGCAATAATGGTAATTACTCAAATTCGTCAAAAAATTGCTATGAATAAAAAGAATATAAATGACATTTTTAAATGAATATCAGTTTAGATGGGATGAACATTAATGAGTTGGAAGGAAGAAAAAAATTGACTTCAGCATCCATTAGCATTGTTCGATATATTCCGATTGGTATGCCAGCAACAGATGAACAAAGCTTTTGATAGAGTCGATCATACGTTCCCATCCAGAGATCATCCGATGTTATTTTGAACTAAAAATGTCACTAAGAACATTAGCAATCAAATATTCGGATGAAGAAAACTTGAAAAGAAGGCATAGTAAACCTCGATTAAAATAATTAACCTGAAAATAACGCAAAACATTGTCCATTAAAAATTTAATAAAAAGCTAACACTGGTCAGATATCCTGAGCCTTTAGATTGCTCAATGCCAAGCAGTAATCGAATGAAATCCACTACATAATTTTTGACCTGTGCTTGGTATAGCAGACGATCAAGCATATTTGCGGAGAAAACACTACCTTGCGCAAATGGCAATCGAAACATGTATGGTATTGAGGATCCATGCATGCGTTCCTTCTACAATAGCAAAGCGATAACAAATGGGAGGTATCTGTGGTTTAAAACCGAAGTGAAACGTTATGCTGCCATTTAGATAAGTGTAAGCACAGTTATGAAACAAATAGCAAAATTTACCTTTTCGCACTTAGACTGCTGAAGAGCATACTGATCGTCAGCATTAAACTGCATGAAACGCATATTGCTGGCATGAGTAAGCTCCGTGATGATACGTAGTCTTGGAAACATCCTAATGAGACGAGAACACTCTTAGTGAAGAATAAAGTTGTTGACTGGACAATTTCCAAATCAAGGGTTGAAATCAACGATCGTTAGTTAGGGAGCAAAAAGTTCCTGCACCATTACTTCCTATTGTCCTAGAGACTTCTACACTAACTGCTATATGAAATGAACTATCACAATAAAATAGAACAAATTGACTGACCTGTGTATTTTTTGTACTGTTATAATTGTGGTGCAATCAGCCAAATGCTCCTCAACTGCTGTTGCACCTTCTTTCACAACAACCACATTGTCTGCTAGACAAACGCCTGCTTTCAAAAGATTATCCAAACTGAAATACATCTTCACCGCCATTAAAGAATTTCTATTTACACTATCATAATATTGTTTTTTGGAAAAACAAAAATAGTTGTGCAGTTAAATACTACAGTTGGACTCATTACTATGGAAGTAATGATTACTATGAAAGTTAAAACTCATTACTATGAAAGTTAAGATAGTGCAAAATCATCTTTGGACTAAATAAGTGCCTTTGAAAAGAATGAAGGATGTTCTAATCTGCCCAGCATAAGTAGCATTGAAGTAAGACTAAACAAGTACTCAGGAACAAAGCCGATGGATTTATGTTAACAGAAATTTGTTTCTCTTCAGACCAGTAATGCACTACAGCATTATTTCAAATACTACTGATCACTCCTTTATGAGGCTTCGGTGGCGATATCTACCTGTCTACCTACCTTGATATTTTGCCTTGCATCCAATAGACAAAAGGAAACCACGCGATCACATCTAAGAACGATGGATTCGGCCTGAAAAATCACCCAAATCCTAAATAATCTCTCATAGCACTCTCAATTTCTTCAATCGATCGGTAGCAATAGCCACTGTAGTATTCCCATTCTGTGTAGTACCTATGCCGCCCGGTTGAGATAACTTTCAGCTTTTTTAAGATAATATAAATTAATAATGCAATTGCCTTTCAGTTTCCTGCAATTCAAGCAGAAATATAATGGGTTGAAGTTCATGTACAGGACGATAATAAGCGCGTAGAGGTATAATCAAATTGTACAGACCGGAACATGTCTGATCAGCGGCCACAATCACTGCTGGATTATTCCAATGATACTCATTCGCCGTCCGAAAGAGGCAATGCTCACAAGTCTAAAATCGCAATATCTTTCAAAATTTCCTACAAAATGTGCCATCACAATTCTTTCTATATTCATCCAGATAAAAGAGCCTTCATTTCATTGGACTTTGATATGATGTAAAACGATTTTGATAGGCAGAATTTACTTACGGAAGCAATTTCCAGACAACAAATCAGTCTTTTCTCTTTAAGTATATGACATATAGTGAATCCATTGTCAATAGAGGCCAGCGGTGGATACGTCTTCTCTGTCCTTCAAATTCATTTTTATTTTAGCGGCCTATCATAAAGGGTTACTCTACTTAGCAATTTCCTAAATATAATTTTTTTAATTAACAAACTTTCTGGCAATACACTCCTCGTGAGAAGCACAAATTGTGCAAAACTGAGATTCCATGTCAGATTCATTCGACTCAATAGCTGTTTCCAAAACCTCACCAATACTAGGTTTTTGATCAAATGATTCATTTGTGCTCTGCAATTGTTAAAATAAATATACCAGAAACAAAAGGATTAAAATAATAAATGAATGAAACGACACAACCAACCAAAAGTTTCGACATCTCATCGACATCGTTTCCTTTAGGTTGTAAAAGTCGCTTCCGTTTTTTATGCGTTTTAAAGTCATTCTCTTCTATTTCACGTAAATCAAGAGTCATGATACCTAAATTCAAACATAAATCTTCTGGCAAAATTTCAATTATGTAAATAAGCTAAAAAAAAAATTACAAAAGAACTTAGAGTGAGACAATGTGAGACAAAAAAATACCTCTCCTACCTTCCGTAGATGGAAAAGTAAACGAATCGAAAAAGATCGAAAATCAGTTAACCCCAAATTCCATCATTTACATTGCTAAGTTATGCTATCACGGAAGAAGCATTTGTGCGTATAATACTTGAAAGACAGAGTTAGGACCGAGAAGCCAATAATCATGTAAAGCTTTTATGGCCAAAACTACACATGCAACATAAAAAATTTGCAGATTAACAGTTTTCCTGAATTAGGCTGAGGATTTCGTTGTTCACTTCAGTGAGTGAAAGATGAATCAGTCATCTTATCCCTCTTTTCCTGCTTCTTTGAAACTTCATCAAAATCCTCTATCTCTGTCGATTCGATATGCATCTCATATAAAGTGCAAGAACGTAAAAAAACCTACGGAATCTCGAGCACGGATGAGAGATCTTCTGCTGATTAAATTTTTATTCTTCTCTTCCAGTATTTTCAACTAGACGCGATGGTTGGTTGAAAATACTGGAAGAGAAGAATAAACAGAAGTAAAAATAAAGAATAGCAGTGCTATTCTATATTTTTATCTGTATTGCTCCATAATTTAATTTAAAATACCTATAACATTTCTACTCACAAATTCTGGAAAGCCACATAATGGAAACGGCGGTTACCGTAACAGTTGTCCACAAATTGAGAAATTTACCAATATTTGCGACCGCTGTAGCCAAATTGACCTTTTGTCGCTGTGTGTTTAATCCTTTCCGGAAATCATACAGTGATTCTTCATTAGTTAGAGCGATGTAATATGCAGTGTCCGTAGAATTCAAACGGTAGTATTGACCCGGATTGAGACGAATTCTTTCAAATGGTCCTTCTGATTTGATTGCAATCAGGCCAACTCCATATCTTTAATGGCTAGATTAGGCTTAACAGGTTTAGCGTAGGAGCCTTTTACATATCTTTCAGAATATAACGTAGAATTGACATAGTGAACTGATATGTCATACAAAATGTGAACGTATAAGAATGTGCGGAAGGATGACATATTTGCAAAAGAAACAACATATTGGGACACATATTTACTTCGATTTTGATAAGACGAGATAGATTGACTGCACTTACGGCCTTCTGAAAATGTCATTTAACCATCTGATAATAAAATACTTCTTGTTTTTAAGAAATTAACTAACGTTTGATAAGCATGAAAAGATGCGTAAATGAATGATTTTCCAATATATCCACTAAAAAATTGACTATGCGCAACTTTGATATCATAAATTTCATTGCCAGAATGAAATCCATAAACTTTGTGCCAAGCTTCCGTCGACTTTTGACCTTCTCTGCAGGGAATTAATCAAAATTGCGCCAGTTTTAAGCAGCATTCAAAGTGATCGTCATAATCAATATACTAAAGAACTTACTTTCCACGAGAAGTATGCATGAGAAGTGTGATAAATGTTGAAATACCCGGACAGATGCAATTGTTTGCTAGAAGAGAATATTTGAATTCATCTTCGCAAACTACAACTTCTGAAAGGAATAAGAGACAAAATGGCCCCATAAGATGGACTGAATCTCAGCTTTTCCTTATCTCTCATTGACGACATTTTTAATCAAATTTTGGCACTACTAATCCATAATGTAACCAACCAGCATGTTCTATGTGCATCTTTGTTTCCGGATAGAAAATTTGTACATATTGCGGAACGTTTGGGGCAAAATCTTTCACCGCCCATGACCGTAAGACTGTGTGTTCATCCTAAAACTTATTGCTCTTGAATACCACTGAGCGCAGACTGTATTAGATCGAAGGCTTGTTGAGATTGCAGAACTACTGTCTCAGGAGGTTAATATCATTGCATGGGAAAAAATAAATTGCCCTAGCTATATTAAACAGAAACCGTCATGTTTTCCTGCTTGAAATTTCAGCTTTCCTACTTCCAAATTAATTCTTTTATCTCTCTAAAATTCCGGTATCCGCAGCGAATATAACGAAGCGTGAATGTAAATCATTACCGCTTTCGTTTTGTGATAAATATGCCTTGCTGATAAGATGAAGCATGCCTCTGCATTGGCCATTTTCGCTCTTTCCAGGTCATCATCCATGAGAGCAGAGCCCCGAATATACAGTACTCTGGTTGACCACATCGGTATCTTGAGAAGCATTCGCATCTGGTCATCCATTTCACATGGTGAGAGTAAGATCACCAAATAATTCTATAGATTGACTGATTTATAAAAAGATTTAAATCTATCATTTGAATCTTTATAAATTTGAAGACACTGTCTATCTGAATTTTTCATATTTTGTAGCGCATATTACTATGTAGATTGTATTACTTCTATTATAAATTCTTTTCATCACATTTAGTTAATGGAAAGTCGCTTTTGTTCATTAATTTAAAAAATAACCAAATGCCAAAGGTTGAAAACAATGAGCGAAGCCTGTAGAAATACAGGTGTTGCTACTTGATGTTCAATAAATCTACCTGATGTTCAGGATAGGCATAGAATTCACTGAAGAAATTCCCGATAAATTGAGCCTCCAAATGTGTCACCGTTACAACCACATGCTTCTCATTACTGGCCCAGTTTTTGTTATATTCACCACCTTCTTTTTGCCGTTCTATGTACGTTTTGCCAAGTGCTTCAATCTTAAATTCTCTTAACTATCTTTATTTCTAAAAAATTGTTCCCTGTGTTTTTCCAATTTTGTCTCTTACACTTTACATAATAGCTAATGCTGTTAATTTTTGAACGAAGACCGCATTTGTGGTTCCTTGTGGTCGCTCATTTAATCATACCTGTTTGGGAAGTATAGCAAACGCAATGCATATAAGAATAACAACAAAAAGTCTGGACATCCACGTGTCCGGATACCAGTCACCATAGCCTGAAAATGATGATAGATCACCACTAGAACAAGAATGCTCTACAGTAGACTACAAGCGGCGGTATGGACCCATTCTATCTGTTGGCAAGATTTCAAAACCTTACTATAAATCACGTTCTGTCAAAACCTTGAAATCCACTAAAATTCCACAGAATTATTTCAACTTATACAGCAATTATATACTAACCAACAGTAGAGAAAGTGACTATAACGAAGTAAAACGAAGTGAAAAGGTCAAAGCGTCGTTCACCAGATCGCTGTAAATGCTCAATGCCACACGTGCCCGTGAATACCAAGCATAGTAAGGTAGAAAGTAAAATAACCATTTGGCGAACCAAAACTGTCCGTCCGACTGAAGTTGAAATCCGATATGAATCATGCTGAAAAAAAACTGAATATTTGTGTTTTTTTCTGGCTCGCTTACTAGACAAACTTACTCTCTGGAAAATCATGACTGTATGGTCATTAGAAACCAGAACAGTTTATCAATATGGATGGAAATGCCCCGCAGATGAATTTGGATATTGCCGGTACATTATCATTTGGACGTGAATTGTGAACAATACGCAGGCAGGTGGTTGTATGAAACGGCCTTATGTTATGCATACTATATAAACAAATGGAAGTGACGATCGCTGAAGTTGAAGAAGAGGTAAAAGTGTAGCTGACTAATTCATATTCATATCGTGTTTATCACCTCTTGGCATGATTTTGAACGTTCTTGAAAAAGCGAACTCCGATGAACTTGTCATTTTTCTTAAACGACATGAATTTCCATAAAAGGGTTACTTGCAAGATTAGAATTTTAAGATGATCCAAGTACACAGAGCATTTTTTACATAATCTCAAAAAACATCTAAACTAATGAACGACTAACCATAATAGCTTGCAGAGCACTTTTAGCCAGCCAGCAATTCAGGAATATTGGAACGTAAAGCTTCCGTCCAAGTGGTACAAATATCTAAGAATATATTTTTTTGTGCATTAGATAAGATGCAGTATTTCATATTAATCTTATTCAAATGTTAGGCATATTACTGATTAAAATGAACTCTAGCAGAAAAAATAAGATGGAAATGTTTACCGTAGCGATCAATGGCATGCTGGTTATTAATTCCAATAGAAAATGCAATTTTAAAACAACTCGAAATGTACTGCCCTGAAAGGATAGCTATGAATAATAAACTCATTCACCGGACAAAAGTGCTAAAGTGTCACGTTTCCACTGTGTTATAAAGAGCAGCTTTTACTAGTAATAACATACTAACTTACTTTGTAACTCAGAAAAAATATGATGACTGTTTGCAGTATGCTTAAAAATGCAACAATCACTTGGCAGATCCAAATCGAAAATTTTCGATCAACCCATATTAGGTACTGACTGAAAAGAACATTCATTTTGCATTAGCAATACATACGCAAATCATATGTAAGACTTACTGGTATGCTCCTTTGCAATTGCATTTGAATTGCAACGCAAAAATTTGATTCCTTATAAAATTATTTGCAATAAAAAATGGAGAAGAAGGTAGTAAATAGGATATGATTATTTATTGTTCTTAATAATCAATTCTTTTTGGATGTATGAATATGAGAAAAGTATCAGAAGATGAAAGAGAAGTATAATTATTCTCATTGTCATGTAAAGTTGAATCAAGAATTCCGCACTTAAAAAAGTAGTTCAAAAATATTAACGATAAAACATTTCGAATGTGTCGTCATGACTGCTAAACACTGGTAGGATGGATGAAAAATAACTTTTTGTTGCTATGCAAAGCAAGTCGGAAGTTCAAGAGAATGAATTTGGCTGTACATTTTTTCTATTATATTTTTAGCATATCTTCTCGACTTCAATCATTAAGACACTTTCTCAAATTCATAACATGAAAGCCTGAATGCGTTAACGTACACCAATAAGGCAGAAAAGTATTATGAATTCCGTTCATTCTTATCTTTTCAATTGCTTCTATTTCTTCAAGCTAGAAATTATGAAAAAGATGTTGCAAGTATTAAACAAAAGTTTCATTTTAAGTAATATGACCAAAATGAAGCCCACAGTTACATGACAAAACTCGTTGATACAGATACGGGTCATTCAGTATATCATGAAGTGTATTTGCAAAGTAAACTACAATCCAAAAGCTATCCTTTTCAATGTGAAGATGATTTGTTTGAAATGTAATTAAAGTTTGACTACTTACAATTTTAAATTAATCGTCGTTTACTGAATTAACAAAAAGACACTTACTACTTAATTTCGTCAGGAGCATAATACTTCGGCTTGATGTAACGTGGAAGGTGCCCCTTGTCATTAACGACTCGCACGCAATACAAAATGCATGAAAGCACTTTGATAAGTAAATTGAAAAGTCGAATTCGGAAACCTAAAGAGCACAAAAAAGTTTGGAATGAAAGAAAAAAGCAAAAGGATGAAATACTCAAATGCACAAATGATTAAATCCTACATGAAAGACCAAGTGTATCCGGCATCTGAATCCAACTCAGCATGCACGGCTCAACATATATTCTGCTTTGAAATCTTGTCTAGGTCAACCAGCAAAGTTCTGTCCACCTGATAATCATCTCTACTGTGTATTTCATATCGCATCAATGCTCTCATCATTATTGGGACAATCACCGCTCTTTTTATAACAGGTAGACTTTAACTTCTAAGGTTTTTCAATGTTTTCATGTTGATTTTCTTTAACCAACTTATCCTACACTATTAAGACGTAACCACTTTTTCTTTAATCCGAGAATTTTATGCCCACTGTTTTATATGTTGCAATCGTAAAGGACCCTTCCGTCTTATATGTTGCATTCTTGAAGGATTTTCTACAACCACCTTTCTTTGTAAATTACTAAGATTTATTGACCGAAATTCATTCATTTCGCCTGATCCTAAGCTTATTACTGCTTACCCTTTCTAGCTTCTTCTGATTAATCATCAAAGGTGATTTTCAATTCTGTTCCTATAGATCAGAAAGTTCACGACATTCTTCTTTTTGGTTGTGTACGCTTTGTGAAATCGCTGCTATTGACTAATATATCATTCTCTTTTACTACAATCAATAAATATTTCTGATAAGGCAAAAAGTTTACTGTGACTATTTCCCATTCTTCTTCTGCCCTCAGTGCTGTCAAATGACCACTCTCATTTTTCTGAAGCATAACAAACTTCAGTGCGACCCATTTTCATGCATTTTCTCCCATTCGTTAGTGTATTTGGTTGTTGTTAAACATGTTGCAACATCTTCCATGAAGTCATTCCAGTTAGCCAGGAGGTTAGATGGTTCATAATGAATCAAAAGGTGGCATGCTTAGATCTGTGAGTTTCCTTTTGCTCTTTTTCCTTCCTGTTTTTCTTTTCTTCACAAATTCAAATCCAAACTCACCTTCCTTTCTTGTTCGAAGTCCAAGCACTTACAAGTTGTTTCGATCTTAACTAGCAATCCGGTGATCCATCTATCCCAGATTCTATCTCAGTGCAGACATGTTTTTACTTGTACTATTTTTTCCATTCTTCCATTCCTTCTATTCAGTCAGTGCAAGACATAACACCTTTTGTCTCTGTCTCTTTCGTTCGGTTCACTAGTATTCATTCCGCTTCAAGCATTCCATAGTTTTGTTGTTCCTACTTCATGTCCAGTTGTTTCTCTAGCATTCTGTCCAGCCAATGAATTATATGTTGAATCTCTGTTTTGATCAAAATTCATTTCACTTAGAAATGACTGCCACCCGTGTTCATTAGGTCTCCGTTCGAACATGATCCTGGTCTTCGAAGATTCAGTAACAGGTATGAGAAGGAATTCACATGACTGCTTAATCAGATTATCATTACTTTGCAAACACAATACGAGTAGAACCAACTTGTCTTGATGTTTTCCACATAGTACTGTTCAAGTCGAACTTTCAGATTCTGTTTCCTTCTGCATTGCATGTGTGGACTGAAATAGCATTTACTTCATTAATTTCTATGGGAAGTTTAAACTTGAAAACATACAAGAAACTAATGGGTCCGTATGTTTTAATCAAGTAAGTATCGATGTGTGTAATTAATATAAATATAAAATATAAATATAATGGAAATTAATAGAAATGCAAAAGCTTCAATTTTCATACTTCAAGGAGACGTAGAAGAAGAATAACCAAGAATCTATTCAGGAAACGTTCTTACGTTCTTGGTTATTCTTTAGATTATTCTGGAAAGTGCGCGAGTATACCTACACTAAGTCATTTACTGGGCAAAAGTGGATAAAGTTGGTGCTATCTAAGCGAACTGTGAAATAGAATGAATTTTTTCAATAAAGCTGGGACAAGCCAATTCTCGCAAATGGTCATTTAACTTGTAACAAACTGGTCATTTAGCCTGTAACAAAGACATTTGATTTGAGTTAATCAAGCTATTGGGCCTAAAAAATGCCAGTTTTATAAATGAAATTCATTTTTATGAAAGCTATTTCACAATACATATCTACCAGTATTTAATTCATGCCACATAAAACTTACATTCCACGCGATGAGCTCATCGCTTCATTTAATGAAGCAATAATCCAAAGATGAGAGTTATTTAATTAGAGTTTATTTCGAGGAAGCACTGTATGGACAAGCCAGCCAGCCGGCGGTTATGCAGAAGGGCGATTGGTCGTTAAATTATATATCACGAGCGTTGCATCTCTTATTCCTCCTCCGCCTTCACAACACTCTGTTCATTGTTGGCCTACACTTCCTTTTCTCCACCCTTCCATCTTGATTGTTACCCAGAAGAGGATTGCTCCACGTCCTAACTAAAATTGGCCAACGTAAGTGCTATCAATTCGATGGCATTTCAAATTCTTCTCTTGAAAATATTTCCTCATTTTTCAGATTCTCCTTCAAAAATGAATAGCCAATTCTATCCATTCAGTCCTGCGGTAAGAATGGCATTAAAAGCTCGAAATGGCATCAAAAAAATGAGCAGTCGATAGAAGCAATTTATCTTAAGCTTTCGACTTCATAACCAAATTTCACCTCTCTCTTACCGTCACTTTTCTAAAGACCAACGGCAAATAGATTTAATTCCTATCAATAAAAAAATGAAATTTTCCATCTACTCAAGTTTGTTTACGCAAGTTCCATATGACAAATTCGGGAAACAACTTGCACAGATTCCGCAAGAAGGATTTTCTACCGATAGGTTTAATTACGCATTAAATGTGGAGGTAATCAGATGTCGTACTGCATTTGTGTGTTAAATTCATTAAAATGTGTTTAACTGAAAACTTCGATTTTGTACTTCTCAATGGCCATCATTTTCTTTTAAATGAATTCTCCAGAATTTAAATATAAATGGATAACAAAATTCATGCGATATAATTTTTGTTGTATTAACTTCATCTGATAGATCCGATGTTGTAAGAAAAGTGAATCAACATAACTGTATCTATCTCACAATACTTTTTTCTGCTTTTTTTGTCTGGAATTATGAAGTGAAAATTTTTATTGTTTGGAATTATGAAATGGAAAAGATAAGAATTTCACGTGGATTAGAAATTCAGAATTATTTTTTTGCTTATTTATTCTTCCTTTGAAATGAGTCAGTCATTGTGATTGATTTGTTCGAAGTCGAATTGGGCCAATTTTCATTATTGTTTATCAAATTACTTAATGTTATTCAGTTTGATAAACAATAATGAAAATTTTGAAATAATAAGAAAAGCACAGAAAACACCTCTACGTCTCTTTCGTTTATAAAGCAATATTTTGAAATGATGGTAAATTGATATGGTTATAGTTTGGGAAGGTATGAGTATAGATATAAATCAGGTCGAAAACCGGTTATGATACATTGAACGTAATGCACAGAGTTGTTTCCATATTATTAGCCATATCAGCAGTGCTTTCGAATTTCCAAATCTTAAAAAAACACATAAATGTTAACATACAAAAACAAAAAATGAGTAATTGAATTTAGCTTAAGGGTTAAAGGTTAAATAGATTTTGACTGTGCATGGTATTAAAGAATCTCTCTTATTTCATCAGTCGGCTGGCGAATTTATTTTATACGTGCTATCGCCCGGCACGTATGCTTGTCGTTATGAGCATTTATAAGAATTGAAGTCGTGCATTGAGATCTTGAAAATACCCAGAATTAGAGCTGACATATGAAATAATAGAGAAATATGAAAATTCTAAGAGATTAATTGATTAATGATATCAACTTCCGCTATCAGCTTAGTTCTGCTAAGGTTTTTCTAACCAAAGGGCATTTTTTCTTCTTGGATAATTGCCACTTTCCGACTCTCTCGTGGGATATGGGAATGATAACAACTGTAACTGAGGGAAAAGAGGTCAAATGTTCGCATGTTAGGCGGTATTTACTTTTACCCTTATCTAGTAGTTTCCATATCCATTTTCTCTCTTTGTTTTTGAAATTGTGAAAGAGAATGTATCTTCGAGAGAGGATAAATATTTCTCCTTATAAGGAATGGGATAGAAACACTGCTACGTATCTGCCTAGAGTTTTACATTTGGCACAAAGACAAAAATTTTAGAAATGCTGTTCGAACTTAAGGCTATTATATTAGGATCAAATCTGGTAGCTGCCTTGAAAGGAAGTTTGACGGAAATGAAAGAATGATAGAAATGGGATTTTTAGACACTTTCCATAAGCGCTCTCTCTGAAGCTAAAATGCTTTAAAGGCTTCGCTTTTTAGAAAGCTTTAAACATCGGGGAAGTATACTGCGGGGACACATAGCGGACATTGAGGCAAGAGAAAAATATATGGAGAGGCTTTTAAAAATACCTTCATGAAGGCTGAAGGAAGGACAATGAACCTTGATGAACTGGATCTATGAGTGAAGCATTTCACTGAAGAGAAAATGAACTATGATGAAATCAACCTTGAAGTTCACTTCACGCACAAGCTTCACTCGAGATCAGTGGTCTTTGATGTCACCTTTCAGATATGAACTATATGCTATCAGCTCCATCACTGTTCCAATTTTAATATTCCGAAAGAAACAATTTTGTATTGTTTGAGTTTGATAAGTTCCATTTGCTACAGGGAGAAGGACGCAGTGTCATGCAACAATAATCGCTTTCACAAAAAAGTGTATTCCATGTTTTGTGCATTGCACGGCACTGGAGACCCAAATGATCTCGCTAGCGATGTCACGAAGTTCGCTATTCCTTTTGATAGCTATTGCCGAGATACGGCTTTGCACCAATTACTGCACCAAAAATTCGACAAATTCTTATTAACCTGAAATCCTTATGCTGAAACTACCTTCAAGTTTTGCAAACAAGCTTAAATGAATAAGAAAAATCAGTCCTATTATCAATTGTGAATAATACGTAATGTTTATAACATAGAGATTTGACCATACAAAATTTGATTCATTCATTATGTGACCAGCTGGTCATCGTCACAAGAATAGTCCCGTCAGTGAGCCGATCGAAATATCCAATCCAAAATGCTTGGAATCTATACACATCAAGAGGAAAGAAAAAATGATTGTGCCATTTTTTTATCGCAAATAAGCTGTAAACAACATTTCTGATTTCTTTGATTCTCTTATTCCTGTCGAACGGACCATCTTATTGCAATTATTTAGCTGCTCTTCATAATTCCATCTGGGAAAAGTTAAATCTAATTTGAAATGATTCAATGGTTTCCAGTTTTCTTGTTCTTAATGAGTGCACTGTCTTTTTCCTTAGAATTAACAGCTTTGTAATGTTTAGAATTTCTGAGCTTCAGAATACAGAATGGGGAAATGGTCTCTCAAATACAATGTCTTTCAATGGCGGTAGTGAATTAAAATTAGCGACATTGATCAATAAGACATTCCTGAAAAGCCTTATCTTTTTCCTTTGCGCTTTATGAGTCCTTTTTATCGTTGTACCTTTGTGATTCCCGCCCGAGCATTTTCACCTGTTAATTCCTTCCTACAAATCGATTCTAATGAATCTAAGGGATCTCTTCCGCCAGTTCCATTGCTGTAAATCGACTGATCATACTGTCAAATAGATCCATCTCATCATGTCGCTCCATTAATAATCAAGAAATCTATTTTTCTCTTCCACTAACTAAAGTTAATAAATCACATTGATTGGATTCCGCACGGAAAAAAGGATTGATATATTTGCTTTGAGGACATGACAAAAATCGATCCAAAGGCAAAGAATTTTTTATATTCTTTTACTGACTGAGAAAATTGTTTACATCGATTGGCTCATAGTATGATGCTATCTTCTCTCTAACGATACTATGCAATAATTTTGGGAGTGAAAATGAAAGCAAATTCAAAATATCATTTGATAGATTAAGTAAGCTTGAAATTCAACCAGAGTAGACTAGATTGGATAAAATTAGATTTTCTATCTAATGACATAGAGAAAAATATTTAGTTTAAAAGGTTTCGAAAATTCCTCATATTGTCAGCGATTACAGTGAAAAAAGCTGTGCGTAAAATTGCTATAGTCAAACGAAAAAGATGCAAATTGTTTTCCGCATTGCCTGTAGAAAGAAAAGGGAAACAAGAGTGAACCGATTATTAATTGACGGAAGAATCAGTAGAGCCTCATTTATTTTTGATTATTTCGTAATTGTCGTTAGAATCGTTCGATCAGTTGGATTGCTAATGATTCTTCAATTAAAAAGAGCTAACTTGGAGATATCACAAACTTCTCTAAACAGAGAAACATTAAATCTAAAGTCAATCTTTGCCTTCGTTATCGTATGTGGCACAAAAGTATCAAACAGATCTGCTAACCTTCGGTTCGTCAAAAAAGCAAAGCAATGATTTCGAGTGAGTATCGCAGCACATTAGTTATCATGTAATATTGTCACAATGAATATTTTTCTATGTTTGATCGATTTTGCCTTGCCTTCGTCCTCTGTTACCTCTGTTAACTAATACTATGATCAATGAATATAACTACAATAAGTAATCAGTACACTTCAATAGTAATTCTAACTTCAATATAGAATTTTGAGATGAAAGAAAATAAAGTATTCCATTATTCTTTAACTTTCGTTCATTTTGAGAAGGAAACAGAAAATTCAGCTCGAATTAAGTTATTTGTTTGTGGAAGTTTGAATTCCCAAAAAAAATCAAAAAGCTGAGGCGCAACTTTTATCATGAAACTTTTTGATTTGAGAAATTTATTGTCTCGAAATTTATTGTTTATTCTTTGTGGAAGATGAATTTATTCTTCCAAATGTCATAAGATAAATATCAAAGAATATCAGGGAAGAGTTGATTGGTAGAGCCGATCGTATTTCTGGTGTAGATCATGATAATGTTTCCATATTTAATGCTCGTTAGGAGAGAGTTATGTGATTAACGGGTGCTTAACATTTTCAACTATTGCCGAAGAAAGCATCTTATTATATCTTGTAGACACAAAGCAAGCTAAATGAACAAAGAATTTGTATAACACTTACTTCAAAGGCATTAATGAGTAATCGTTACGGTATGGATTAGATAAACTATAGAATTAAGACAATTTTCTAGAATTCGAGTACTTTAATTACAGCCACAAAAA